AGATGCTTAAACGACGGAGCCACCCAGACGCCCCCCTTTCTGCTCTATTCTTGACTGAGCATTTAGGACCTTCTAATGTCCTATATATTTCATTTATTAATTTTGATATTATACCTGTTTATTCCACTAGAATGTGTCTTCCATGAAGACATAATTTTTATCTTTTTATAGCTACTATTATTTGTACATCTAAACTTATAGCTAATATCTCCTAGGTACTCAATAAGTATTTGTTGATTGAATTAATTAATACCCCCTCTAGAAATAGCAATTCTAACCAACTCCAGAATCTCTGAATTTGTTCTAGATGTTAAAGGGCAGAAATTGAAGATATAGGACCAGAGGTTTTCAAAATCTAAATCATAGGAATTGCCGTAATCATTCAGACTGTGGACCTTCTAGACCAGTGTTTTGATGGGATGAATGTGATGGCAGGGCATGGCCTTTCTCTTTGACATCTGCCTCAAAGCTTGGGGTTAATCATTCATTCAGCTAGACAGAGTCCATCTTTTATCAATAATTAGCTCTGGGGATAAAACATTGAATGAGATATATGGCTCCATACTCTCATAAATCCTTGTCATCCATAACTAGATCAACATTTTTTGGGGGGGTATTATTTATCTTTTCAGACTGTTCCAACCCTGTCAAGAAGCATTCCTTAACTTTACTATTTACTTTGTCATATAATTTTGCATCCAGAACCTTAAGAGAGTTTCTCAAGGAGGAGTCTACTGCCACATTGGCCTCTTCAGGCTTGGGCAATGAGATTGAGCTTCTTGTCAGCGTGGGTCCCTGGTGTTGCATGTGGTTCACCATCTCAAAATCACGTGCTCCTTTTAACTTACAGGGAAACTCTTATTGGTGACATGGGGTCAATGATGCTGGGTCAATATGAGAGAAAGACATAGTAGCGGTATATATGATGGTAAAAGAAAATGGGACAGAAAATTTCAGACTTGAAGTGTCTCTAAGTTTTTTCTGCTGCCTGCTCTCCTCTTCTCTGATAATGGGTCTAGTGGTGAGTGTACCCCTAATACCTTGTATTAATTTCTCCCATGATCACATCCTAGAAAAATGGAAAGAGATGTCAGATGTGACTTTCTGTGTAACTTAGCAACAGCATATATGAAAAGGATTAAGAGCGTTGGTCTATTATAAACTCAGAGTGAATTAACATTGAGATGAGGCTCTTGAGGGGGAGCAACAGTTATGTCCAAACTGAGGCTGGTGATGATCTCCTCACCCGAATGGAGATGGCTACCCCTGGGGCCCTGGGCTTGAGGAAACAGAGACCAGAATGTACCCAGAATGAAGGCACTCAAAACGGGTTTAGATGAGGAGCAGTTGACAGGATGGAGGAGGTTTATTATAGAGAAGACTCAGAAGGACTGTAAGTGCTGCTTAAGAGCTTCCTTCAAGTGTTGGAAGGGCTTTGCATATGGGAGAAGCATGAGACCATTCTGGAGCCTCTGGGCTTAGAATGAGGATGCGTGGGTAGAAGGTGGGTAAGGCGTGTTCAAAGATGGCTGCCCGGGCAGCTGCCTGTCTCAGTGCCTGATTCCTTAGGCAGAATGGGAGTCCTAACTTGTAGCCAAGGAGCTCAGATACCTATTGAAGCCAGCCTAGGGCAGAGTAAGCAGATAGGCTGACCAGGAGGAAGAGCAAATGACAGCTCTAGTTTGGGATCATCATCTGTGATCCTTCTTTCCCCAATTTGCCTTCAGTGAGCTTTTTGTTTTTCAGCTCCCTTTGGCTTTTATTTTTTTTAAGTCTTTACCAGTTTAATTAAGCATGCCATTCCCACCAGTACACAAAATGGTCTTAACCTGTCGTGACAGTTGTTTGGGGAATGATTATTCCGTCAGGAAAAGCATACTTCACCAAAAACAGAACATAGACTTTCCAATGCTCTTTTCAAAGAATTTTTGGTTTTCAACGTAAGAGAGAAGAACAGCATTTAATTACCGCATCCCTTGCATATGGGATGTATGACAGGCTGTACCAGGTCACGGACGAGAACTACAGCATGCAGAATAATAAGGCCAGTTCCTTCTTGTGCCACCAAAGAGCAGCACACAAGGTAAATATGAAATGCAAAAGCATCATAATTGTTGCAAGTAATCTTATCGTTTCAAACATTTTCTTCGGTTGCTTCATAGGTCCCATTATAAGGCATGTACTGGCTAGCACAGTGAGATTTCCAAATGTATAAAACACTGCAGAAACCTTCATGCCACCAGGAAGCCCCAGCAATCCAGTCCCGAGGATAGAGAGGAAAATGCCGCTCACGAAGCAGATGACCAACCACTTCAGCCTGGTGTTGAAACTGAGGGAAGAGGCAGCCAGGACCTGCGCAGTCAGCCCTACTGCCCGTCATCCTGGCTGCTCAGGACCCCCCACAGCTCCTCCGTGGCCCTGCTCCCCACGCACTGGCGGCCCCACTTACGGGACCCCCACACCGTCCCTAATTTTTCAGCTCCCTTTGAAACATTTGCTCATACCCATTGACCCCAAAATTCAAATCTTGGAAGTTTGTGTTATAGAAGTAAAAATACAAATATTTAATGACATGTGCCCAAGGCTATATATAAATAAAATTGCAGAAATGTGGAAATGATCTGAATGATAATTAAAAGAGAATAGTGGAATACGTTCTGCTGTATCCATAATATAGATTATAATGCAATTAGTATAGACAATGAGTTAGATCTATGACTATTGTCCCAGAGGGATGAGCAGAATATAGAATAAAGTGGGAAAAGCAAGAGAAACATATGTAGTGTGATTTCATTTTGTGAGAATAAATTATAATAAAAAAATCCCTCACATATGTAATCATATTGGCATATATTTGTGTGAGTTTGGCAAAAAGGGTGGAAGAATATAGATGAAGTTGTTGACGGTGGTGGGAGAGTTCAGGGTAAGGTGGGTGGAGACTCAAGGGACAGAGGAACAGGAATGGAGACAAAGTGAAGGAGAGTGAAAGGGGATGGTTTATCCATTCATCTGTCTATCCATCTGTCTCTCTATCCACCTGTTATCTGTCCATCCATCTATCCATCTGTCTATCTATCCACTATCTTTCCATCTGTCTACTATTATCAATCATCTTCATTGGTTGTGCTGAAACATGTATTAATTTTGAAGACTAATAAAAGAAAGAAGAAAAAGAAAAATTCCTTTTTTATGTTATTTCCATTTTTTTGCTCTGTTGTTCTTCTTTATGAAAACTGTCTCAACCTTTCTACTAAGGACAATCCAGAGATTTCATAATAAAAAAAAATCAGGTTTAATCCTTTAAAGGTGGTGACCTAAACAAATTAAAAGAAATCTGGGGAATGTGTAAAGAGTAAATATTTTGAGTCAAAACTGAAATTCTAGATGTCATGAAAGATGAATGACTTGAGAATCACTGCTATTTTTTCTTTGTTCTTTGCTGTATAGATGGTGTTTATTTTTCTCCTAGTGCTCCAGGAAAAAATATTTCCTTAAATCTAGGGAACACAGGGTTGGGTTAGGAGCATCCAACTCAGTTAAAAAATTTGCTAGTTCGTGGTGGCGAAGTAGGGCATTGAATGGAAAGAGTTCTGACATCTGTGTGTGTGGGCGTATGTGTATAATCGGTTTTTCTCTGCAGAGATGGCCAGAAAGATGCTTGTGTTTTCCTGTGATTTGGATGCTTTCTTTCAAATTATTTTTAAGAACTGTTTTCCATATTAAATTATACTCATTATGCATTCATATTTAATGCTGATAGTTCTTTCCACATAAAGAATTTGTCTACATACAGAATAGCCCCAGGCATTATAGAGATGGCTGGGGATTTAACCTCTTCTTATTATGAAAGAGGATTTGGGCAGGAATAGGATCCTGTTTCATATTTGCATTTGGACATAGACTTGGAGTTGATCCCAAGTAGCCATACTGATACAAAGGCAAAACACGAACGGGTATGTAAGATCCATAGAAATAATAACGCTAACCATCGTATTTTTTTCATTTTAAGGTGTTCATTTTATATGCTAATTGCAATTTGAATGTATCTTACTGCACTTGTGTGCATTTATTAGATTAATATTGTAAGTCAGCACTGTTTTTTTTTTAAGATTTTATTTATTTGAGAAAGAGAGAATGAGAGACAGAGAGCATGAGAGGGAAGAGGGTCAGAGGGAGAAGCAGACTCCCCGCTGAGCAGGGAGCCCGATGTGGGACTCGATCCCGGGTCTCCAGGATCATGACCTGAGCCGAAGGCAGTCGCTTAACCAACTGAGCCACCCAGGCGCCCCAACACTGTTTTTATAATTAAGGGTCTCACAAGTCCTGTGGAATCCACTTAGCTGGTCCATGAGTTCCAGATATTTAATGCACTTAGAACATTCTAGAATCATGAACCTCGAGAACTTCAGTCTGTGCAGTGCTGTCTTGATTCATACAAATCAGGAAGTTTTAAAAGTGTTGTTTTCATAGTGACTGCCTCATAAATAATACTAAAATAATACTAAAAATATACAAAGTAGGACCTGTACATGGCTGACTCCATTTTAAAATTGTGATTTTTAGTTCAAAGGCACCATCGTTTTGGGAAAACTAGTCATGTACAGTGACATTTTTCCACCTCACAGTCTGAAAAATATCTCACTAGGCCCAGACCTGAGTGGGCAATTTATCTGTCACAAGTGGGCGGGAAGAATCGGAAGAAAAAAATGTTGTTTGAAGCTATGACCTGGCGAGAATGTGATGTGGAAAGTTGTGCTAACTGACTAGGTTGCTCCTGTCCCGCATTTGCTTTGGGCGTCCTGTCAAGCATTTTCTTTGAGTTTAATTGTCACTGTGGCTTTGTTTTCTTGGGCGTAAGATCTGCTTCCTCCAGAAAAATCACTTTCTCCCCTGCCCCCACCCCCAAGCTAGGCTGCAACTTCACGGCTGACTTTCCTGTGTGTGTTGGAGTCCATGGTCTTTTGCTGCTTTTCTCATGCCTTTTCTTTATGATGTTTCAGCTCATCCACCATACACCATGTGCTTTAGAGTGAAATTCTACCCACATGAACCCTTGAAGATTAAAGAAGAGCTCACAAGGTATTTTTCGTTTGTTTGTATGTTTAACCTGCACCTTTAACCAGCCAGGGCCTCCAAGTCCTACCAGGCTAGATGTTCCTCCTGTCTAGAGCAGAATGTCTCAACGAAGCAGACACTCCGTTTGGCATTTTGGCTTGGAATGTTTCTCTTGCACTTAATTGTCTTGGGATTTTTCAAACAGTTGTCATTGGGAGTGTAATTAACTGCACACAAAAAAAGCGGTGGTTATAAGGAGGAGGTATTCTCTGAAAACATCTGACGGTGGGGTGCTAAAAATAAATAGAAGATGACTGTCTTTAGGGTACAGGCAAATTCATAGCTAGTGCAGCCCCTAGGGACAATCTTTTGGATCTGAGCTGTTCTGGAAGGGAAAAGATCGCTGGGTAGTACCAACTGTTTGTCACCCCACATTCCTCTTGCTGAATGGCCGACCATGGGGCTGTTTTCCCTCCACTTGTAGACTCTTCTCAGGCTAATGTGGAATTTTCCAATTCTCCCATCTCCTCCCTTCTGATCTTCCTGGGCTGCGGCCATATTCAGTCCTCCTCCTGGGGTTTTGCTTTTGAGAACAGACCCAGTCAGTGCAGCTGAGTAGGGTCCCAGGAAGGCGATAATTCTTAGTTCTTGACGAGACTCTGATTAGGTGACAAAAATCACTGTGCACAATCATCTCTTGAAATAATCAGCATAGGTCTGAATGCAACAGAGATGCAAGGTGATGCATTGGGTTATTGGATATTTTGCTTTCTCCTTATTCCCGAGTCTTCAGTAAAGCTTGACCACCGTGGCACTGAGGTGACTTGTAAGGGAGCAGATGGTGCCATTCTCTATTATTAATTTGCACACAGCCATTAGTGAGGTCTGTGCTTGGGGATGGGGGCAGGTGGAAACGAGGGACACATAAATAATGGACATTATAAGTGGTGGTGGGCATTTTGCAACCTGACCTGCTTTTTAAAAATATTAAGGTAAAATTCACGTAACATAAACTGATTTCACCACTTCCAAGTGTACAATTCAGTGTCGTTAAGTACATTCGTAATGTTGGGTAACCATCACTGATACCTCATTCCAAAACATTTTCTCATCACCAAAAAGGACCCCTGTACCCATTAGCAGTTAATACTCATAAATGAGTCAGTTGCTCATTTATTTTGCCTATTCTGGACATTTCATATAAGTGGAATCATGTGATATGTGTCAGGGGCTGCATGAACTACCAAAAAAAAAAAAAACCAATAACAACAACCAAAACAAACAAACAAAAAACCAACCATGTTTGTCCTGCCCTCTGGGTGCCGAAAACGTAATTAGAAAAATTGAATCAAATACTAATGCCGGGCATTATTTAGTCAGATGTCAAAATGGTTCACATTTGTCATTTGTTTTCTTTATAATCTTGTCTGGAGGATAAAAATTGAATATGTGTCACGATGCAAGTTAAGGATGGATCTTTTGTTGTTGAGAAAAGTCCCATTTGAAAGTAGAAGAATACGAAGTGTTAGTTAATAACTCCAGTCCAATTCTTCTCAATTGGATTTGCTAGCATTTCCCTGCATTTGACTGAATAGCAGAGGTATGAATAGTGGAAGGTTGTGAACATTTTTATGTCTCCAAAGAAAATTAAGACAATGCTGTGTCCTTGCACAGATAGAAATGGGCTTTTCTTAGTCAATACAATCCTTAGAATTCAAAACGAATCTAGAAACTGTGGAATGCCCCCAGTACTTATGGTTTAAACCCTATCTTGAAGTCAGAGAGGGGGACAAAACATGAGAGACTCTTGACTCTGGGAAATAACTGAGGATTGTGGAAAGGGAGGTGGGTGGTGGGATGGGGTAACTGGGTGATGGGCATTAAGGAGGGCATGTGATGTGATGAGCACTGGGTGTTATATGCAACTAATGAATCATTGAACACTGCATCAAAAACTAATGATGTACTATATGCTGGCTAATTGAATTTAAATTAAAAAGAAAGTTGCATTCTAAAAAGTTTCATTTTTCTTTTGATAACTTGTTATTTTGTTGTAAGGTTAATCTAAAGTTTAAGAAGAATTTGCTACATGAGAACTTAACACATTCGTGACCTTGCTTAGGGGTAAAGAAACATTGGGGAAAAAGCAGATGGGAAAGAGTAAAACAACAAATACTCATAAAAAAGGATATTTGAGATCACACTTTATCCTTCATTTATCTCTCCATTCACACAGTCCTCTTACAATTTTTTAGATCTCTAGGGCTTTTATAAATGTTGGATACAATTGAATGTAATCAAAGTATTTTGTTTTTTGTTTTTGTTTTTTTAAGTAAGAACCATCTTTAAGTTCATGTTAGATAGAGAAGCAGTATTGTTAATGGTGGCGCCAGAATGTATGCCCAGATCCTCTTGTGCTTTTGTTGCTTAATCTTTTCATACAGGAGTGATACTAAAAGGAGATGCATTATTATTATTATTATTATTATTTGGTGGCTATTATATTAAAAAATGAGTATCTGAACCTGAAGCTATTTCTAAGGCTCAGTGGATTATGTCGAATGCACAGTAATCCATGATTATCTCTAGAGATCACTGATCCCAAGGACCCAAGCTTGGATGTGCTGAAAGCAGATTTTCTTTTCTCTGGAAGCTTCCGTCAAACTTAATTTCAGATATATGAGATGAGAATCCAAACCTCTCATTCATCAGTACATAGCTATTTGAAACTATTTTTCACTACTAAACTCATCAAAAATGGAAAGGAATGCTTCTTGTTCAATGTGTAACATTGAACAAGTAGACAAGAAACTTCATTTGGCCTGGAAGTTTGTAGTCTTTAGAAAGGAAAAGATTGGATCCGATTTGTGCGACCTTGGTCATCTGAATGGTCCATGGCAGAGGGCCACAAAGAGAGGTCTTCCAGACCAGCAGCACCTGGGAACCTGGCCCCGGTTCCAGACCTGGGACAGGGCTCAGCAACTGGAAATTTCACATGCCTTCCAGGTACTTTTAGAGCATGTCAAAATTTAAGAGCTACTCTAAGATGATTTTCAAAAAAGTATTAGCTTCTTTTGGCAGATACTACAGTGCACACCTCAGTGGGTTTCGTGTATTCACAAAGTTGTGCCACCGTCATCACAGTCCAATCCCAGAACATTTTTATCAGCCAGTACCTGTCCAGTCATTCCCTGTTTCCCCTCCTTTTCACCTCCTCCCCGTCCCCGGCAGCCATTAATCTACTCAGTCTGTCTAGATTTCTCCATTCTGGACATCTCATGCAAATAGGATCCTATTAATATGTGGCCTTTTATGTCTGGCTTCTTTCCACTTAGCATACTGTTTTCAAGGCTTATCCATGCTGTGTGAGTGGATCCATACTTCATCCTTCTTTATGGCTGAATACTATTCCATTGTGTGGATATTCCACTTTCTTTTATCCATTCATCAGTTGATGGGCATTTGGATTTTTCTACTTTTTAGTATTACGAATAATGCTGCTATGAAAATTTGTGTCCATGTTTTTGTGAGGACCCAGATTCCAATTTAATTGGATTTGGGGGCAGAGTCCACAGCTTGGTTATTTTGTTGAAAAGCTCCCCCAGGTGGTTCTAATGTGCAGTCAGCGTGGAGAACCACTGGTTTGGAACCTAGGTCCTCAAAGTGTGGACCATGGGCTTGCAGCACAGCCTCACCATTAGAAATAGTTATTAGAAATATGGACTCCGATGCCCCACCCCAATCTACTGAATCAGATTCCACATTCTCGAAGGATCTCTGGATAATTCATGTGCTCACTGAGGCGTGCGAGGCTCTCATGTAGGGAGCTTTACAGGGTCCTTACCTACCAAGTGTAATGCTGTTTCTCTGGCAAATTGTGTACCAGACTCTGCGTAAGACATTTCTTAGGGACTGCCTTTATCCCCTGCAAATAATTCCATACAAAGTCAGGGACAAAGAGTGTCTGTCAGTTGAGCCTCTGCAGTATCCCCAGTGCCCAGAGCCCAGTATACAATGTAAAGCAGGTGTGGGATAGAGATTCATCAAGTGGACACAGCAGTGAGCCTCTGATACTTCAGTGTGTCCAGTGTGCTTTAGATGATCCAGTGCCCAGCGTTGGGGAGCTCCAGTGTCCTTGGGCCGACGGCACCTGTGATCTCAGCACCTTAATCATGCTGTCTGAATGGGGCTGTGCACATGGCTCCTCAGAGACTGAGTCAAGAGCAGATCATTGGAGCACTGGAATCGATAACTGGGACCAGTTGAGTGCTGCCCCCACCTGGCTCCAAGAACCCGGAATAAAAAAAAAAGGATTGGTCTCTGAGAATTAAAGGAAACTAAACAAAGAATCTGCACACACCTTACCTGCAGAGTCATTTTAGTCAGAAGCAGTAGACCCCAGGCGTGAGCCTTGGAGGAAAGAATCAACTTGGCAAAGAGATCGAGTAAATCTGAAGAGGGCTTGATCAGCCTGGAGAATGAAAGGGGCGGTGACCAGGTGAGCCTGAGCCAGGGGTCGCAAACCTGCCTGTACCCCTTTCCCCTGGCTGAATTGGGCCTGTGTGTATTTTTTGTTTGGCACTACAGTGTTTTTAAAAACAGAATTGGTTGCAACATTTAAAATTCAGAGGATTTTCCCTCTAAATCCAGTCTCTGATTTTCTGGAAAAGCGGGCTGTGCTTGGCCTGCTTTTCTGCGCTGTGACCCCGGGCTGGTGCTGCGTGACCAGCTGACCCTTCTTGGGAGCCCGCGCTCTCCATTCTGCCCCCCCGGACCCCCTTCGCTCGGCCCACTTCACTCATGATCAGGTTCGCCTGGCTCTGTGGGCACCTGAGTTTGCCGTCCCTGGGGAGGGGGACAGGGCACTAACCAGAGGACACATCTAGTTGTGAATAAATTGGCTTTCTGGCCTCATAACCAAGTCCTTTTGAGATTGATTAACGTGTCTGTCTGCCCCTGAGACTCCTCTCTGGATACCGGTCGAGTCCATTCACAGACTCTCCATTTCACACAGAGTGTGGGCCACCTGTACTGGGGGGAGGTGGGGTTGTCACCTCGTGGGCGTTCCTTCCAGGACCCGTGGCTGCTGGGCCCTGTGGCTTTCCTCCGTCCTCATGTTTCTTTAAAAAGGGCCAGCTGCCCTCAGTCACGGTCATGTCAGATTTCCTGAATCCCGGGGGCCCCTCAGTTTCATCCGCTTGCCCTCCGAGGGGCTGGTGTGGTTCCGGCGGCACGCAGGTGGGTAGAGCATGAACAGTCCTTCCACTTCTTCCAGGCCTCAGCCAAGACTTAGGGTGACTCTCGCTCATTTTGTGTTACAGGTATCTTTTGTACCTGCAGATTAAAAGAGATATTTTCCACGGTCGACTGCTCTGCTCCTTTTCAGATGCTGCCTACCTGGGTGCCTGTATCATTCAAGGTAAGTGTGGCCACAGCTGCCCACCCCCTCTGAGGGGGGGGTGGGGTGCTCCGAGCTCTGATCGCCAGGCGTGGTGCCTGATGGGTATATTGAGGGGGAAATGTCTGTTGGAGGGAGGTAGGTGTCAAACGGTTTGAAATGAAATGTCAAAGCATGTATATATATAAATGCATTTCTCTTTCTCTCTCTATATATATACACATTCTATTTATTCTTTAAAAATACTTTAAAAATTAAAAATATATTTACACACAAATTATAAAATTATACATATAAATAAATATAGACAAAATATAAACAAAAATATATATTATATATAATCCTATGTGTAGAGATGTGTCCATGAGCAGCGTATCGAACTCTTCAGTTTTTCTAGCCATGGAGCACGATCAGGAGAACACCAGACTCACAGTCTGTCATACTCAGGTCGAGTTCACCTCCGCATCTACTGGCTATTTCAGCACAGACAAATTATCTCAACTCTTTAAGCATATATTAAATGGAGTGGCATGCCTCCTTCACTGAGACTTATTTTCAGGGTTGAACAAGCCCCAGAGGGTGGGGCAGTAGGAAACAGTAAGCACATATGAGCCAGGTGTGGGCTTCTGGATGTTTCCACCTATAAGAAAAAACCACCTGGAAAGTGGTCTCCTGGGCCGAAGGTGGTGCACAGCCATGGGGGTGGGCCCGCGGGACCTGAGCAAAGAATGACTCAGGTGTTCTGTTCCCCTGGGCCAGTTGGGAGGCAGCTGGAGCAAGGCCTGTTGGGAGGGACCCAGGTGATCCAGCCTTTTGTGGTGTGAAAGCTAATCTCGTATTTATGAGAGAAGGGGAGGCGAAGGGAGGGGGGATGGAGAGGACAGTTCTCAAGTGGGCATGTCCTCTCTATAGGGTCTGGAATAACGTAGGCACTTATGATGGGTCATAAGCAGATTGTGACCATCGTCTGCCTTCACAATTCCAAGCTTCATTCACAGCTATGAGAGACACCGTCATTCTCCTGGGGTTCCACTGTCACCCACCACTGTCCCTGTGGGGTGCTCTGTGCTGTGAAATAGTTCCTTGGGCCCTGTTTCCAGGTGTGTGTGCTTTCCGAGAATTCCGCAGTGTGTCTGTGTTGCTTTCCCCTTCCCCTGGGATCCATCTAGTGCCGCACAGCCGATTTTGGCAGAGGTGTTAAAACCCTTGGAGATACTCAAGTTGAAAACTGGAACTACAGTGATACGGTGAGGTGATGGGAAAGAGTCCTTCCATCTGCCCTGCGGTGGAGTATGTGCTTCCCAAAACCTCTCTCACAGCAGAGCTAAGGGATGTTAAAACCCATAGTCTTCCTCCTTCCCTGCAAGGTTGCAAATTCCTGGTGAGAGTGCACTGTCCTCTGTAAGGGAAAAGCAGATCAATACTAATCCAAGCACCAGACCAGCACATGAGCATTTCAGAACACAGTTAGGCATTAGTGAGTCACGGTCAAGTCTCCAAGGACATGCTCACTATGGATCTGTAACGGGAAACTCGCCATCCTGTTTTATGTTTGAAATAAGGCCACCAAGTCTCCCTCTGGACAACCAGGGCCCTTGGCGCTGTTATCCCTGACCATGCGCACAGATGCTGTGGAGAAAGTGGAACTGAAAACGGACTGGCAGACCCCAAAAGGACCTTTCGGCTCTAAGATACAGCATTGTCCATGGGCCATTTGTAGCAAATCCAGTAAAAGCTGGATTCATGATGTTCTCTGGTGCTTGGGGTGATCTTTCAGCAGCTCTAGAGATCATTGAAATGCAGATAAAGATCTGCTTTGGTGGACCTGTTATGCTTACACAGAGAGAGGGAATGTGGAGGAAAGGACGGACGGAAGCAGGAGGCCGTGTGACTTTTCAGTGGCTTCTTATTCGCTAACACTCTCTGAAGGAGTGTGTTTGAAGCTTCAGAATATTCTCAGTATATAAAACACAGGCTGCACCCAGAGTGTTGCTACTCGTATGTACTGAATACAGCGAGCCTATTCAATACGTGCGATGCATTTTCTTTCATAATACAAATTGCAACACAGATACACAAAGCCCTAGGAATCTCTTTATTTCTTTTCTTGGTAAAAATGATATCATTCCTGTTCCTTCTACAGAACAGCAACATGGTGGGATTGTCACTCTTATTTCCTCTGCCTGGTGTGTTCCAGATATTCAGAACTGAATTTGAACTCAGTTCAGATATTACTTCCTCTGAGAAGTCTTCCTGGGCTTACTAAAGTAGCCTCTCTCCTGCACCACATTCTGTCTCCTACCCCTGTTTTGTTATCTTTTAAGCACTTCTATCTGAAATTATGTCGTTGAGTTGTTTGGGGACTTCTTATGCATTCCCTCGATGTAGAATCTAAACTCCATGAAAGTAGAACTCCGGGGACATTTTTCACCATAGTATCCCTGTGTCTGGCATGCAGTAGGTTCTCCAGTAATGATGTTAAGTGAACCAGGGCATTTGCCTAAATTGCACCACTGTGCTTTATTTCTCTGCTTGGGAAAGAGCGGCTGGTTCCCTACCTCCTTCATTTATTTGTTCGTGTTCTCTGAACATGTATGGAGCGTCTGCTAGGAGGCGCAGGCACTGTGTCAGGAAGTCCCTGGTTGGGAGGGAAGAGGGGGAAGGGACAGACAAGTAAACAGGCAGTGTGATGATCTGTGAATGGCTCAATAGAGTGACAGCCGGGTCCCTGCTATGACCTCAGGAGGGCTTCTGACCCAGCGAGGGTGGTCAGGGAAGGCTCCTGGGGGAGTTGGCTCTGGAACATCCCGTCTCTCGTGTTCTTTTGGAATGAGTCCTCTCCAAACCAGGGGAAATGCATTGCCAAGCTTGCCCTTTTTACTTACCATCACCTGATAGCACTCATCCTTTTGCTTCAACTCTTTGGATTTTTCTGACAGTTAAATTCCCTTGGAAATGTGCTAGGGGCCTGTTTCAGATTGCAAGCCATCCACTGTGCATTTGTCGTAACTTTATCCTCCCTTACCCAACTCCTCTTGATAGTCTGAATAGTTACAAGTCCTGAATCATTTCTGAACTGCCTTTTGCTTCAGGTGAAGTCAGTTAAAGTCCAGCTTTAAGGGACAAGAAAGCAGGGCACCTGATTGGGGGGGGGGCATTGACATTTACCTTGTTAGCAACCTAGTGCATGTTCCACAGCATTTCTTCTCTCAGTTTTCTGGCATTTTCCAAGCTACTCATTTGCAGTGTTTAGCAGTACAAGTTCATTTTATCTTACAAGTTTTCCTGAAAAGAGGACCAACCCCCCACCACCCTTGCCAAACAAAGCCCTCCCTCACCAACCACCACGCAAGCTGACATTTGCATTGAAAGTGACCCGGTTTTGTATTGGTGGTCCATTCTGTATGGAAAATGGAGGCATTGGGCTATATCGTCTCCTAAATTTTCAGGTCCATAGCCGGCTCACAGGGTGAAATGTGTGGGTGTGGGCATAGGTGTGTTATGTGTGCATCTTTTGAAACTCAGGTTGAGTTAATCATCAGTTGATGGCTTATTCTTGTCACTGATCCCTTTGGGTCCATCAGTTGATTGATTGATTGGTTGATTTTCCTTTTCATTATTCTCCATTTCCATCCCGAAAGGCAACAACGGGGTTCATATAGATTCTCGACTTTGCATACATCCTTATCAATGATTACATTGTTTTGTGTGTATACGCTTCTTAAGTTTTGTAAATTAAATGGGGCTATAAAACTCGTTTTAATCCTCTTATGTTCAAAACACTGTTTTGGGAATCTGTTCAGGTTTTTGGGTTTCCATCTATTGCTTTTAATTGCTACAGGGTATCCTGCAGAGTATCCGTTTTGTTTATTGTTCCCACCAACAATGAACACTCAAGTTGCCTTCATATCCTTTCTTGTACTTAGCGTTTACCTAGAATATATGCCGAGAAGTGCGATTGCTGGGTTATAACATTTGACTAAATATTCCCACCTTGCTCTTTTTTTTCTTTAAATTTTTTATTGTTATGTTAATCACCATACATTACATCATTAGTTTGTGATGTAGTGTTCCATGATTCATTGTTTGTGCATAACACCCAGTGCTCCATGCAGTACGTGCCCTCTTTAATACCCGTCACCAGGCTAACCCATCCCCCCACGCCCCCTCCTCTCTAGAACCCTCAGTTTGTTTTTCAGAGTCCATCGTCTCTCATGGTTCGTCTCCCCCTCCGATTTCCCCCCTTCATTCTTCCCCTCCTGCTATCTTCTTTTTTTTTTCTTAACATATATTGCATTATTTGTTTCAGAGGTACAGATCTGTGATTCAACAGTCTTGCACAATTCACAGCGCTCACCAAAGCACATACCCTGCCCAATGTCTATCACCCAGCCACCCCATCCCTCCCACCCCCCACCACTCCAGCAACCCTCAGTTTGTTTCCTGAGATTAAGAATTCCTCATATCAGTGAGGTCATATGATACATGTCTTTCTCTGATTGACTTATTTCACTCAGCATAACACCCTCCGGTTCCATCCACGTCATTGCAAATGGCAAGATCTCATTCCTTTTGGGACCTCTTGTTCTTTAGAAGAGCTGCATGCATCAAGGATCCTCCAGAAGTGTACAAGTATTTCAATTTCCTGATATCTCTGCCAACACGTAGAATCATTTGACTTCTTAAACATTTTGCCAATCTTATAGGTGTAAAGTGATGTCTTGTTTTGGTTTCCATAGTTCTGACTACTGATGAGTTTGAGCATCTCTCTATATTGGCTGTTTATATCCTTTGACCATCTTCCTATTGGTCTTCCTACCCATTTTCTTATTGATTGGTAGGGACTTCTTCTTTATTCTAGATATCAGCCCTTGTCAGTGTTGGACTTTGCAAATTTATTCTTTCAATTTGTTTTCTGTTATTTTGACTATGATGACTTTTAATGAACAGAAGTATTTTAATTTGATTTGATTGATTTCCCTCCTATGGTTGATGGTATTTTGGGTCTTATTTTAAAAATCATTCCTCATGTGGGATATGCACTTTAGGTTGTTTTAAGAACTCTGTAATTTGAATTCTATTAGGAAGCTTTAAAGAGCTTTGCTTTCCTCCCAGTTTTGTCCTTTTGTAGTCATTAGATGATTCAACAATGAAAGGACAGTAGATACAAATTACAGAGTTGGATGTGATTTTGCAGATGTGCTCAAGGCATATTGATTTTTATCTACTACAAAGTCATGTTGGCGATCAAGTTCTTCTAATACAATTTTCCCATCCTCTTTTAATCTTCTTTCCTGGCCAGTTCTGCCTGAGACATTTGCCCCTTCTGGCCCATTTTCCTTAGCAGTCTTGTGCAATCAGTAAAAAGTATCCCCATGGCCAGAGCGTCACCTTTGCTGATCCTGGCTGTGGTTGGTGCATATTTGAGGTCCATGCTCTCCTAGACCCTCTGGGAGCTCAGAGATGTGCCAGCATTTCTTCTTGCCTTTAAAGACCCCCTGGAGGTGCTCTGTATTAGAACCCTGCAACAACCTTCATCTGGTATGGTTGCCCATGCTGAGATTTACACTCTTTAATCTGAGGAGCATTCCATTTATTTTTAAGTGCAGTCTTTCTGGGTGCCTTCATGTTGTGATTTTTTTTTTTTTTATTGGATGCACCATACTTGTACGAATCTCAGAGCAGGCAGCTCCAGCTGTAGAATTCCTAGACTCAGAAAATCAGCTATGAAAGGAACCCTGAGGGACATTCAGTGATTTCCCACTAACATCCTAGGGAATGTTTGGAAATACTGGGGGGCATCTGTGTTGGTCACAATGTGGAGGTGTGCTACTAACACTTAGTACCTGATGGGTAGGGTGATAAATGTCCTAACATGACTTGGAAGGTCTGAAACAATAGAGAATTGTTTAGCTCCTCAAATGCCAATAGTGCCCTATTGAAAAACAGCTATTGAAATTTCTTTATTATATAGATGAAGAAAACAAGGCTCAAAGAGGTTGGCAAGTACCCAAGCTCATACGGCTAAATCTGAGTTAGAATATGGGCTTCTAGACACTCAGGCTGTGGTCCTCCCATGGATACAAATACATTTTGTCGGGTGAACTTATTGCCAGCTCTTCATTTGGGTGGCAGGAACCATTCCACAAGTACCCTATTCTTGTTGTTGTTAATCCTTCTCTCTCTTATTTCTTACTGGTTACAGCTGAGCTCGGCGATTATGATCCTGATGAGCATCCTGAGAATTACATCAGTGAGTTTGAGATTTTCCCCAAGCAGTCACAGAAGCTGGAAAGAAAAATAGTGGAAATCCATAAAAATGAACTCAGGTAATAGGGGTAGACATTTGGAAGAGTGATGGGAGTGAGAAAGTATTCTTACTGCAGGGAATGTGGAAATCGTGTTGTGAAATAAGAGGATTGGTAATGTACGAGTGGATGGTTTCAGGTGGCAGAGCAATCTTTCTGGGCACTGTCAAGATCCTCCATAGCACAGGGTCCCCTGGATGGCTGTCTATGAACCATCCACAGTTATTAGAGCCATATATTTTCCTATGGGTTTTAACCACTCTGAGTTACTGTAAGTGAAATCTAAGGTAAGTAAGTAATCCTTTCTATTGTGAATTTTGCATCGCCTCTTCCTTTCCTGTGGCCGTTGCTGGAAGCTTTGACTCCAAGTAGGATGAAATCCATCAGTGAGATTTCCTTTGCTGAGCTGCTTTCAAGACGACAGATACAGTATCTGCTCTACTGCTTGTCTGTGGTGTTCCAGGATGATTGTGACTAACTACAGAGTAGTAACAGTAGAAGTAGCAAAATCGCATATAGTATTCACTGTGTACCACGCACCATTCTAAGCACTTGTTCATAGTGACTCATTTAATCTTCACAATGACTAGGAGATGGGCGCCATGGTTGTTTCCATTTTACAGATGAGGAAACTGAGGCACAGAGAGATTAAGCATCTTACCCAAGCTAGCAAGTGGCAGAGTCAGGATTTGAATCCACATAGCCTGGCTCCAGAGTCTGTGCTCTTAATCCTTGTGATGCTTCTGCTCTGCATAGGCTACTAGGTATGAAATGGAGCATGGATAGGAATCATTGACAGCTTGGAATCAGGTAACTCAAGTACTCTAGCCTGTAACTAGAATTTAGATCTGTGCAAATCATGGAAAAATTCACTTTGGTAATAATGAATGTGGGTTATGTTATGACAAGTATGGATGAAGACCTGTAAGAACTGAGATGCCTCCATCTTCTGGACCTCTGGTAATTATATATACATATATATAAATAAATATTTTTATATAAGTGTGTATATATATATATATTGCCACCAGATTATGAATTCTGGACAAGGAACTGTCCCCTGACAGGGAGTGCTTGAATTCCCTACTTTACGCAGGCACTCCCCCTTCTGGTGAGTCTGAGCAGAGTATACACGTGGGCATTAAAGGTGGCAGCATATTTCAGCTTTGAAAAGATGACCTTTGTTCTTAACAGATAAAGATGATTAGGCATAAAAAAATTGTACTCGTTTCAGAAAGCAACGTGTCCTCTCTACGGGTAATTTGAGAGTATTGTCTCCTAATGAAAAGCTTTGTTGAAAATACAGGACCCTGACTCCTCTTCTTACATTTTGGGGATGAGAATGGTAAATAGAGGTAAAAATAAACATCCAGTATTCTAGCTGAGGAGTTTGTGGATGAGCAGTGTCTGGGCAGCACAGAGTGAGAACCTCCAGGAGAGGCATCGCATCCACTGTGTGGATTGGTGGGAATGGGAATCAGGGGGTCTGCCGTGACCAGAATTTGCAGGACCTCAGATGCCGGGGACGTATGATATTAGCAAACATCTATTGAGCATTCCTGGATGCCAAAATACTGTGCTAAGAGTCCTATGTGTGTCCACTCAGTCCTCCTAAACTCTACAAGGGAGGCACTCTTGTTGCTCCCAATCCAAGGTGAAGAAAGCCCAACGTGGAGTGGATTAAGGCCTTGCCCTGTTAGCAGCAAAGTCAGGACTTGAGCCTTGCTCTTACTTGACACCGACACCCATACTCTTACCCACTCCGCTGAGCAGTCATCTGACAATCAGGTAGTCAGTCACGTGGGTGCTGCCGAGTGATCACCATGGCAGTGGCACCAGAGGTAAGAGACTGTGAGCAGGAGGACCAGTTAGTTAGTTCTGCTCCCCAAACAAGAGATGCCATGGACCTGGAAATGAAAGAAGAGAGTTTTGAGCAACCTTACATCAAGATGGTGACCCACTGACTTTCATGAGTAAATGAGGGAATCAAAGAAGATTCCAGATTGCTTTTTTTCTAATTTTTAAAGATTTATTTATTTATTTAATTTTTATTGTTATGTTAATCACCGTACATTACATCATTAGTTTTTGATGTAGTGTTCCATGATTCATTGTTTGTGCATAACACCCAGTGCTCCACGCAGAATGTGCCCTCTTTAATACCCATCACCAGGCTAACCCATCCCCCCCACCCCCCACCACTCTAGCAACCCTCAGTTTGTTAAGTGAGATTAAGAATTCCTCATATCAGTGAGGTCATATCATACATGTCCTTCTCTGATTGACTTATTTCACTCAGCATAACACCCTCCGGTTCTATCCATGTCGTTGCAAATGGCAAGATCTCATTCCTATTTATGGCTGCATAATATTCCATTGTATATATATACCACATCTTCTTTATCCATTCATCTGTCGATGGACATCTTGGCTCTTTCCACAGTTTGGCTATTGTGGACATTGCTGCTATAAACACTGGGGTGCACGTACCCCTTCAGATCCCTACATTTGTATCTTTGGGGTAAATACCCAGTAGTGCAATTGCTGGATCGTATGGTAGCTCTGTTTTCAACTGGTTCAGGAACCTCCATACTGTTTTCCAGAGTGGCTGCACCAGCTTGCATTCCCACCAACAGTGTAGGAGGGTTCCCCTTTCTCCACATCCCCGCCAACATCTGTCATTTCCTGACTTGTTAATTTTCGCCATTCTAATGGGTGTGAGGTAGTATCTCATTGAGGTTTTGATTTGGATTTCCCTGATGCCGAGCGATGTTGAGCACTTTTTCATGTGTCTGTTGGCCATTTGGATGTCTTCTTTGTAGAAATGTCTGCTCATGTCTTCTGCCCATTTCTTGATTGGATTATTTGTTCTTTGGGTG